GGCTCTTTCTTCCTCCTCCCTTTTTCTCATGAGACTACTACCCCCGCATCTCACATTTGTCTCTATTCTTCGAACCTTTATAGTAAACATTTATCTTAATGTTGCATCACGATGCACCCATGTATTATTTAGAAAGCCGTTTTTTGTTTCAGTCCCTGTGAATCTCCAGCTTCCTGTCCTTCCTCCTGGGCCTCCTACTGTCTCGTTGTTCCTTCGCTGTCGGCCTAATTGCCTTCTCAATACTTGTCACCCCAGCTGTGCCAAATCTAGTCTATATGCCTGCAGAGACGGACTTTCTCAGTAGCTCCTTTTTCCTAATTACAATTGTGTCTGTGTGAGTCTTTTTTTGGCTCGTGTATTGTTCTTTGTATCCCCTAAAGTACACCAGACGAGTCCACAGGCAAGAGCCAACTGCCCACAACCCAGTTCACTAATGTCCACCCGACCAATAGCGGTGATCTTTGTACTGATAAATGAACTGCAATCTGTCTTTGTATTTGTTAGTTTGATAGAGTATGAGTAATGTGTTAAGGGTTTCATGCTTGTTATATGTGTACCTGCCCAGTGGTTGCAGATGGAAATAGCCAAATCTGGTAAAAATCATCCCCTCTCTTTTTGAGATGAATGTCTTTTCATGCATGCTCCTTCTTTTAAAAAAAAAGTCAAACAATCTTTACTCAAAGCTTATGTGCTTCTCTCTTCTCCACCATCTTTACAGGCCTCCATTGATGTCAAATAAATATGATAATAGCATTTAATATACAGCTGAAATGAGAATACTATCCATTATATTCACGTGATAGACAGTTTCATGTAATATATCACTGTGGATAACATTCTAGTACCATTTTGACAGGCCGTCACTTGGCAGACTGGCAACATTAGAGGTGATCTAACATCACTGTCAAAACAAATAGATTGTTAGGTGATCAACGGAAGGGTTAGTTTTGACTTGTTAAGATTTATCAATACAAATAAAACCATTTAAAACCTATTTAATTAAACAATTATGAATTTTCTAAGTCTAAAAACACATCAGTTCTTTTTGCTCGTAAAAAAAGTATTTTTTCCGGAGGTAATAAGTCAAAAGTGAGAGCAAATAGAAGAAGAAGATTGATCTATATTGCTTCCAGTGGACAATGGACTAAAAGTTGGCACGAAGCCATGACGCAACCATACCACTTCCGATAGAAATCTGGGTAAGCCCCCATAGTGGGTGGGTGCCTCTGGAAGGCTTTACCGTCCCTCCCCCTGCCCTTCACCTCATTGATTTACTATTATACTTTCTCCAAGGTAATGCAGAGTCCATTAAAGTGAGCCTTCTATGCAGTGTGTATGCATAATGAAGCTTCCTGTATGTTTCCGTGTGGGAGAGGATGGAAACCGTTCCCCTTACATCTGCACTTGTATGGCCATGAATCAGAGGCAAGTCGACTGTTAATGTAAAATCAATGGTCCAAATTAACCACAGGACCTTAGTCTCCGGTTTTTCAGCCCTTTTTCTTTTTCTGGACAAGACATGCCCTTGGGGCTGAGTGAGGGAGAACAAAACGGCTGCACAGTCGAGCATGGAAAGATACATGTTTCGCAGACACGTGTAACTTCGCCGACACATGAAAACATACAGCTCATTGGCATAATGCATGCATACCGCAGCACACAGTGAGAGAGCAGAGCTAGGTCCCCTTGTCTAATTCGCATAGTGCTGCATCTATTAAAATTAAGCCAAGGTATCCAGCTTAAGGCTGCCGCTGATAAGGTCAAAGGCGTAGCGAACATTCCAACACTCATTTCTCCCCCTACATAATCGCACTCACTTTTGACAAAAATCTGCATAATGTCCCGTGTATAGCTGCTAGCCAAAATGAAAGATGGAGGTGTGAGGGACGGGAGGGGGCTGGGACCGGCAGAGGGGAATGGAGCCAGCGGCATATCCCTCAAAGTCAGAGCCAAATTGAATCTGCAGGTGCAAATGTGGCATGTGTGCTGCCTCTGTGATGCGCAGCTATCTATATTTATATGAATAAAATATGGCCGGTCAAGGGGCCACACGCCTGCAGGGAATAAGCTCCTACGGCAGACGGAATCAATCATTATATGCCACTGAAATGCATTTATCGCCGGCTCGGACCTCCTTATTATGATTTCATGGGGTTTGATATGGGCATTCTCCTTCTGTTTTCATTCGGTGCTACTCTACCTCAGCTACAACAGATGATAGATGTGGCACTTTCAAATGACACAATGTCCTTGTGTCTGTTCAAAGGCTCAGCAGGCGAATGATTGGCTGATTTGAAGACAGACATTGCTTTTTGTATCTGCATTTATATGCATATTTCCAACAGGCTTTGGATGTCTATAGGATCATGCATTTCTTTACGCATAAGTCACTGCAGCTGTATCAATACATGAAGACTTATTCTTATGATATAGGTTTTTATTAATGCTCTGAAGGCCTATATGTATCAATCTGAACACAGAACAGATGGACAGCACAGCAGTAGCCCTCAGATGTCCTCCTTCTTCTCTGCTCATGTTCGAAACTGCAATCTGAACATATGTCCCTATCTGTCCGTCTCTGATATGAATCTGCACTATATAGCAAACTAATTAGTGATGTTCATTTTGCTATTTTGTTGTGAACATCAGCCTTTTTTTACAATATACCCGACATGTGATCTTTTTTTTTTTTTGTGTTCTAGCTAAATACTTAAAATGCAGAAGCAAATGTCATTGCAGACAAAGGAAGTGTCACATCCCATTATGACCTTTTGATATGGACCGAACAGCAAAATGTCACGAATGCTGCCATCAAACAGTTTTGATCCTTGGCTTTTTTTTCCTCTCTCTTTGTGTCTATTTTCACATGATGTGGGTGTGCTACAGTCCATCCAACAGATAGTACATTTTGAAAAATATGAAAACCCTCTTGTCCCCCTTGTTCCTTTTGCCCTCCGTCTGTGTGCTTATTCCATTTTAATGGGTGCCTGTGTTTGTTTGGGAACTGGATGCTATCAGAGAGCCTATGCTCGGCTGCACATGCTGATCCCCTGCAGCCGTCTTGTGAATATGTTTACATGCATTTCACTGAGGAGCCTGGATAGATCCTGGAGCATCTTGTTACCACTATTATTGAATAAAGATCTGGAGATTAATTTGATTTCTGACGACGCTCCTCTGAACCGGTAGTAGCAGTTTGCCACCGACACATCCTCTCCAGTTCACAGGAACATGCAGCCCTCTGCCTATAGAGAAATTAATATGGAACACCCACTCTGTGCTGCTGCCTATCATGATCTCCAAGCCTCCACAAGGCCACTGCAGGCACAATACCTTCTCCACCCCCCCCCCCCCCCACACACACACACACACTGCTTCACACGCAGATCAATAGGCAATTCGCAAAGCCACTCGCTTTAAGTGTATGACTCAGTGTGGACATGTAATATCGATTTGTTTTGAACAAATGTGACCAAATTAATAAAGCAACCCATTACTGCTTTTGCTTTTCCGTTGTTATCACCTTTGGGGAGGAACATGGATACATACTTTAAATGTAACCTCACTAACAGTTTGGGACTATGTTTTGCGTGCAACTTTCAATGTATACAGGAACAACCCTTCATTAACATGTGCTTTCAAGGATTTCTAGTGCACTTTTTATGGCTGAGTATTCCGATATAAGCTGCTCAGCAGGTAGTCACATAATTCGAGGTGGGAACAATGCATGGTGTGTGGGCCGAGGTTTTCTCAGCGTGTCTGGTGTTTGGGCATGATGGCTCTCATGGCATTTCACTGTGTTTCGTATCGAGCAGCTGCTTTGGGGTGAGTCATTCGCACTGTGGAGGCCAACATCTATTGTATCCATCACCGGGAACAAGCACACACACATGGACAGGCATGCATAGGAAGAACATGAGGATTACTGCCAGCTAATTCAGTAGTTGGTGAAAATCACATTTGTCATTATCGGTTTATCTGCCTTTGAAATATTCATGAGTAATACATCTGCTGGATGACATGCATTTAGGACAGAGGGAAGGGGGGGGGGGGGGGGGGAAGGAGAGAGAGAGAGAGAGAGAGAGAGAGAGAGAGAGAGAGAGAGAGAGAGAGAGAGAGAGAGAGAGAGAGAGAGAGAGAGAGAGAGAGAGAGAGAGAGAGAGAGAGGCCCCAATGCAGTTAAAGGATTAGTGAATTCCCTCTCTCTCCAGCCCTGGATGTGTGGGTGTACGGGAAAGTGATGATGGTGATGCATTTAAAGACGCCTCTCAGTGGCTGTGTTGATTACACAAAAGCCCTGCATGCATGTGCTGATGGCTGAATATACATGATCATTTATCTCCACCTTTAAGTGATAATGCGTGTAAAAGAAGCCCAGATTCGTAACGTACTTTCGTAGCATGTGTAGATGAGGACTTTGCAACAGGAAGGTTTTATGAAATGGGGGGGGGGGGGGGGGCACTATTCTGTGGATTTCTTCGAGACGTGTCTGGTGGTGGTGGTGAACTCATAAGCAGAACCGGGGGATATACAACTGACAGTCCTTCAATCCACACACATCTGCTATACACACACACACACACACACACACACACACACACACACACACACACACACACACACACACACACACACACACACACACACACACACACACACAGAGTCCGCCTCGAATTTTATTTTTCTCAAATTCGGCTCTTTGGCAAGTCCATCATAAATCCGGTCTGGTTAAGGCGCATCCTGCATAGTTGCGCAAAAGCGCGTCAAGTGAGGGTTCGAGACCAGTCATCAGCAACATTTTCCTGCATTATATCCCCTAATTCTGCATTTGCATAGGTGATTGTTGTTTAAAAAAAGCTAAAGATAGGTTATTGAAACCGCCAGGATACATCCACAGCGTTTTTCGTCAACTTGGAAAATGTATTACGCATACGAACCGATACGTAACGCGCTTATTAAGTGACAGAAACAAATCCAAGGAGTAAACAGAGTCAACTTACCCGATTTAACCATGATAGCCCTTTGTGTGTGCTGTCTATATTCCCATCAAGTGCGCCGCTCCAATGACGAGCGAGCTCCAGCGCGCGACATAAAGCCAGGCAACAATGTGTGGTCTTCTTATATTTTACGCAGTTGGCGAGATATCAGTTCTCGGATTCTTCCACAAAACGCACGGCTTTTGCATGAAAAGGGAAAAAGGTCGAAGTCCAAAAAGCAGCTTGTGTGTGGAGAAAGATTCACCGCGTGCCCTTCTCTTCTCGTCCTCTCAGCGTCTGTTAACGGCGCATCTCTCCCCTCGATCAAGTGGATCAGGCGGACCACCGTCTCCTCAGCAGTCATTAATATGAGAACAAACCCCGGCTCTCCTGAGGACAGCCAATAGCGTCAGAGAAGCTCGCAGCATCCCGCCTCTGGTTGGCTGAGAGCAGCTGTCAGTCATATCCCAGAAGTCTGTTCTCATCCATGTCTTATTCTGTTGGAGGTGAAGCACGCTGCAAGAAATATCCATATTTACAACATTCTTCTGAGGTGTGAATAGTGCTGACTTAAGACATATTTAAATGGCTGATGGGCGATATTTAATTGTCTGCTGCACATTTGTTGGAAGCTGTTTTTATACATTTTAATACAGGCTCTAACATCAAAGTGACACATTGGAATACTTGATCCCTTTAGCATTGGTCAAGGTAACTATTTTATATAATGTTGGGTACCTTATTTGACATTATTTATTTGTTAACTGTCAAATAAATGTAGTGGAGTAAATAGTACAATATTTCCCACAGATTTGTAACGGAGTTTGATTGATTGATTGAAAAGTTTATTAACAGCTTGTATATTGGGTACAGTACAGTACAGCTCAAAACATACAATTGTTAAGGGGATGCAGACCAGAGAAAGACTTTCGTGTTGTTTACATCAGGGTCCCCCATTTCCAATTCATCATATCATTTAAGACATATAAGACATATTTGACATACAGATGGCTTATTTACAATGTACATACAGGTGGTTTTTTACATACAGATTGCTTATTTACAATTTTCATTTTAGATTTCGTTCTAATACATCCTAACCGGACATTTAAGACATACCAAGTCTACAGATATACAGTTAGTAACAGAGTCTAAAATGCGAGTATATACATAGATGGGGGGGGGGGGGAGCTGTCCATTGAACGACAGGTTGAGATTTGTACCATTACCGGGGCCAGTTTTGCAATGCTCTCCCCCGAAGGTGCTCTTTAAGAGAGGTTTTGAAGGTAAGTATAGTTTTACTTTCCTTTACAGTTGTGGGAAGAGCGTTCCACCTTGATGTGGCATAATTGCGAAACGTGTATTCCCCCTTTTTTGTGCCAAATCTGGGTTTCACATGATTTGTGGAGCTCCCTCTGGTGTTATGATCATGGTATTCCTTGACCTTTGGGAATAATTTTGACATGTACATGGGTACCATAGAGGTGTAGTGGATCTTGTAGACCAGGCCCATTGCAAGTAGCTGTACTCTGTCGTCTACTCTAAGCCATCCTAGGTTGTCAAAGTGGGCAGAGGTGAGGTGGGTTCTAGATGAAAGGTCAAGCAGTAGTCTGACCAGTTTATTTTGCGATGTTTGACTTTTTATTTTTAGCGCCTTGGAGGTGCTATGGTACCATGACGTGCAAGCATAGTCATAGTACCCTTGAATGAGTGAGTCAAAGTCAAATGGAAATATTCAAATAAAATGTGTTTAATATAACATTATAATTAATTTGATATTTTATACACATTATACGCAATGCAATACCTTGGACATGCCTACCGGAGCAATTAGATTTGGGGTTAAATATTTTGCCCAAGGACACTTCAGCATGTTGACTAAAGGAATGGGGATCGAAACTGACACTCATTGGTTGACACCTATTAACCCCCTCAGCAGCCTTATAAACCTTATAAATGAAATAAACATTGTTACATTCCACCTAACTATAACTCAATTAACCATACTACAGGAAAGCTAGGGTTTTGGTTTTGTGTACAATGTATCAAGTAAGCAGCTTAGATAAAACCTATATATACAGTCTATGGGTTCAACACATTCAGTTATGCTAGAAAACAGACACTATTTGGTGTTCTATGTGTATGATTAAATGGTAGTTAAAGTGTAATAGAGAAAAAACGACCTTGAATTGCCATTGCCATTGCAAATTGTGGCTATTAATGACTAATATATGTTTATAGAAATTATTTTTGTTGATTGATAAATGGTCAATTAATTGCATTTGTATAGCTTTTTCCAGTATTTACGACCCCTTGGAGCACATTTACATTTTCTGTACAAGTCAGCATTCCCCCATTCATAGAGAGGAGCCACCTGCACAGGGAAACTAACACACATTCATTCACCGCTGTCCATGCCATCAGGAGCAACTTGGGGTCAATTATCTTGCCCAAGGACACATCCACATGTTGACTGCAGGGACTGGAATTGAACCCCAAACCATACAATTGCTAGAAGATCAAACTACCTCACAGCCTTAAAGTGTCAGTTGTGTTTTTCTACTAAGGGTTCTACAAATCTGAACCTATGAATATACAAATATTCATGAAAGTTTTACCTCTCTGTTTTCTATCTGTATTTGTCCGCCTGCGGTGTCAATACATCTTCCTTGTGTCCATTACATACTGCACTGTAGTTCGCTTTCAAGTTACTGTGAAGTCACAAAAGGCTTGTTCCTGCTTAAACTCGATTTACTGGGAGCACAAAAAAGCATTCTGTTTTTTGTCAGATTAATGGGCAAATAGCCTTTTGGTGTAAAACAGTACTTTCATTATTGTGACACTCAACAGATAATTTAAATAACAATAGGCCAAATGTTTCAGTGTAGTTAAATAACACATGCTTGTGAACAAGACAGCAGTTTGACTTTACCAATATAGCAGAATGTGTGACAAAAGCAATTATATATTATCTTTGATTTGCCACTACTTCCTTGGACATTTACTAACTTCATCCGCCTGACCAGCAGCTTCCACCTTCCTGTATAAGTACATTTGAGACGGACATTTCTTGCAGTGCAGGGGGAATGAGGAAGAAGGCGCAGGCAGGAAAGAAAATGGATATCTGTACCTATTAGCGCCAGAGCTCTTGACTCAGATCCCAGGAGGATTTTCTAACACAATGTTCTACAAACTGATGTTCCTGGAGGTCGGGCAGGGTTACCCGCTGCCTCTAAACGAAACGTACCTCATCTGACAGCCCGTAGGGTTCTGATCTAAAGACTGTACTAACTGAGGCTGTTAGGCTGGGTGGAAGTCTTAATATATACAACCTTACTGTACAAGTTAGTCTACTTTTATCTAGTCGATGTCATTCACATTTCTGTAAAGCCTCTGGGAGATTTGGCTGGGTCAATTAGTTCCTCTTTGAATCACCAGTAATTATTGAAATTTCATGTAAATTGCATAACATATTTTATTTGGTAAACTGAACCCATAAGTGGACGACCTTGATGAATAAATATAGTAACTTTTAAGACAGTTATCTTTAATTAAATGTAGATGATGTTCTCCTAGGTGCTGCTCTCTCAAACTAAAGTAGTTTTTCAGTATTTTTATTTTTCAAATACTTTCTGCTTTTTTCCCTTTATTTAGTTTTCTGCATGTTATGTAATCCTACTTAAGATTTGTGTTTACTGTTAAGTTCCTAACAGCCTTCTGTTAGTGATGATGGGACACATGCCCTTTAAACAGACCCCAGCTTTAATGATGGTGGAAAATGTAATCAGCTGGTGAGAAGCTTTTATATTAGCATTTTCACTGATGTGGTCAAGTTTAATGAGTTAACCTTGTCTAGTTTAATATGTGGTGAAATACAGGTCAGTTTTTTGGCTCCATAATTAAAGAAAATGTCAGGTTTTTTTTAAGCTTCATAAACAGGATGACAGGCTACATGACACATCTGTTGTTTTTAATAGGATATGTTTTAAATAGACGAAATACACACACACACACAAATCAATTTAAAAAAAAAAGTAAACTGCTATTTTTCTTTATTTAAAGTGGTCGTATGCTTTTGTGGTCATTTCAAATTCTCCTTAAAGGTGGGGTAGGTACATTTCAGAAACCGGCTCGAGTGCACTAAAATTTGAAAGTACACAGCCGAAAAGAATCCGCCCCTTCCTTCAGACTTCCTTACAGAGCACCTCCTCCAACACACATGAACGCGCACATGACGTCAGCAGACTGGTGAAAGTGGCCGCCTGTTGCTGGCGAGTCATTGAAGTACTGCTGCAATGCACGCCCAATGACGGCACGCCCATACATTTGTGTGTGCACGAGATGGAAGGCTGACAGACAGGGCGGCAATCCAATCCGTTTAGCCGGCCCGGCTAAACGGATTGGTTGTACTTTTTACAGTACTACTTCCACAGATGACTTTTTTTAATGGATTTTTTGTCAAAGCACTTAAGATATTCATTGCCATCGGGATGTTAAGAGCATTCCATGGAATATAACAAAAAGTGTATCTCGAGCCGGTTTCTGAAACGTACCTACCCCACCTTTAAGTGGTTTTTAAGAGTCTTTTCAAAAGGTTCTGCATTATTCATTGATACCTTTTTGCGATATTAAACATGCCCAGTATTTCTCTAAATGTGCCCTTTCGTAGATTACAAGTCCAGTTATACATGAAATCATGAATCCTTTTCTTGTGCATCATGTCAAGCCTTGTTCCACAAAATTAGGAAGATTCAACATACACGTAAACTGCATTAATGTACAGTTAGGATGATGTGGCTAAAACATACAGGATTAGCACTCACTAGAAATGTCTTTCTTTTTTTTTAATGAAAAGTGACACAAGAATGGAGATTAGTCAGGTGAATAAAGTCAAGGTTCTAAAACTAAAACGCTGAATACCCAAATATTGTGTCATAGCAACCTGTCAATCACAAGGTAGCCACACCCGAAGACATTCACAGCGTTATCGTCTATTTGTCAAAAAGAACATTCTGCTGTACTAAAGAACACTTTTAACTAGCGGTTAAAAAGATAAACTCATAGGGAAAATGTTTACCGTGGAAATAAATCAAGTGAAATGTAGTGTCATACTCTCATAGACTTCTATACAATTTGAATTATTTTTGCAACCAGTGTCGTCGCCCCCTGCTGGCTTATAGAAAAAATGCACTTTTAGGGCACTCAAACTTGGAAGTCGCATCATTATACGACCATTTATGTATATTTTCAAAAACAAAAAGTTGCCATATCAGTACACCATATTTAAAAGATGAAGCATCTTGTCCTTCTCTATAACTGCCTCAGCATGTTGCCATTTAGAAAA